GTTTTTTATTTATATATTCTCGTGATTATTATTTCCAATTTTGTTCTCGATAACATTAAATAAAAATGAACATCAAAGGATTAATATAAACAATTTTAGAGATCAATTATATTACTATTAGTAATAATAAATAAGCAGTCAATTTAGTTGCGCCGTATCAAAGCGTCTTTTAAAGCTTTTTTATAATTGCAAAAAACATCATGATGTTAAAAATAGTAAAAAATCATTTCTGATCACAAATTACAGTTTTATCATAAATTTCATTTAAAATGACATCGCATCATCTGGAATTCCCCTTTAACGTGTAGTCAATACGTAGTTATAAAAATCGTATAAGCGAAATTTGAACAGATTTTAGTTTTAGTAGAATACTAAATAAATCATACGAAATCGAATAAACTCTCTGGGGAGCTTTTTATTTACTCTGCACTAAGCTTTTTACCCCAAATAAAACTGAATTTTAAGCTGTGGAGAGATGTCAGTACGTATAGGCATCGCATGATTCGACGTGCTATATATTCAAAAGTGACAGTATATATATAATACTTAAATATATATATTTATATAAGTATCTTTTCCTTAGTGATTTTTTCATCATTGAGTTAATTTTGTTCAAGCAAGTGTAATGTTTTTCATAAATTACTAAAATCATTTTTAAGACTAATCCTATATGATTTTTGTTTTTATAATTACTTTCATTAAAGTAAAACTCATCTGCTATTAGTTCATATGAAATATTCATCTAAAAATTAAAATTATAAGTAAAATAAATTCTTGTTTAAAATCCTTCAAAACAAAATATTTTGAATTTTATATCTATATATTAAGGTATAATATGAACATAATGAATTTAATTGTTTTATACATTCCACAGTTTATACTAGTGCGGTTTGGTCTGGCAATTTTTGAAGACTGACCAAGTTCAATCTTGACCGGTTCCGGTTTCTACCGATTTTAACCGATTTCGGTTTTTTCAGTCATACTGGATAAACCGATTTCGATTATAAACTTTATACCGTCTTAATTATTATCGAAATTCGTATTGACTTCTATTTTTTTTATAGTTTAGAAATTTGTTAGTACCCATACACATTGACATAATGTTAAATCACTTACAAATATTAAGTTATTTTCACGCAATGACCTCTATAAAATATATGTGCAGCCATGCAGATGCAATGGATAAATGGTCAAAAAGTAATTTTAATTAATTTTTTGTTTTTAATTATACGAAATCGGATAATACATAAAGCGTTACGGAGGTATACTACATTATTAATTTGCGTGCATTACTTCATATACATATAATTAATCATATAAGCGTGATAACTTTATTTCAAATATTTACTGCGAAACGTTTTAGCACGTAGGTAACATTAGAAGACAAATCAAATTTAATAATAATTAAATATTCAATAAATTTTCGTTTATTGGACCGCATAAATGCTGCGTAATCGTTTGATCTAAAACTAATTCTGTGAGCCAAAAAGCGCGATAACATATCTGAAAATATATAAAAAATTTTATTGTTTATTATTAATTCATATACAACTCAGAAAAGCCTTCATTTATATATATATATGTCGTAATGAATAGAAAAAAATTTTTATTGAAGGCAATGCGAAACTATGATATGTTCTCTTAAATTAGAAAAAGTGAAATGGCTATGACTTGGTCATAGAATGTTGACTAAATGAACGTTCCATATCGACCTACGTAATGTTATATTTAAATGAACAATTTTAAATGTTCACGACAATATACTATAATATAGTATATGTAGAGTATACTATATGTGGTATAATACTGTTATACTCGTAAATGATCGTCGACTTATAGTATTTTATAAACAGGTGTACGGCGGAGTATATTGTATACAGGAACGTAAAGGACGTTTAGATAACAGTAGCTATCATCTGGGCGTAAACTATATAAGATAAAAATAATGTATTAAACACAAACATGTAAAATTAAGTCAGCACCAATTAAAACGGAAATTAATTTCTAGAATTCATATATCATACCATATTATGTCAAATAATATTCGATAAAACATTGTAATTGCAATGACATCGATTACCTACAGTTTTAATAGCTCAAATAAGGCGGAAAACGGCAATGATTAGCTTCGGTATTATTAATTACAAGTATTCGTAATTTTTAATAGTCAACAAAAATATTCAGACATATTATATACAAACATCACCATAGTGTTTTATTTATTTATTTTTCCATTATCGGGCAATTATTTTTAAAAATACGGAGTTCGAAAAAGTTAGATATTATAATATATTCTTTACGAATAAAACAGTGTTAGAAATGTACGCTAGTGTAGCGTATGTGTATATAAGTATATAGTTAAATATATTTTCTTTGTTTTTATACAAATTTAAAATAAATAATCAAATAAACGTATTACAAAAATGTAATAATCATTTTTTAAACTCACAACGAGCACAGCTTTTTCGAACCATGCGTAAAAAAAAAAATAAGAAAATTATAATTTTTTAATTATTTGATTCATTAAAAATAATTTATTTCCTTTAAAAATACATCGCACCTGCGTATAAACATATGGGTGTAATTTTAATGGTGATGTTTATAAATGTTAAGAATTTCGTAATATTTTGTCATTAACCTTGATTATTTTTATATTCCCGACAATATTCATACCTAACTGTCATAAAAATACTGCAGTAGAATATACTTTTGTTAGCAAAAAAAAAATTCGAGTTTCTTCCCATAACATTTTTCCAGTAAATGTTATTGTACAAAAATCAATAATGCACACATTCTGCCAGGGCTTATTCTAAGGATTTTTATCTGCTGCTCAATCACACTGAAAAGTTTTTTTTATGCAATTTATTTGGATTATATTTCTTAGTCCCTCCCAAAATAAATTGTATATTGATGTTTTAGAATTTTGATCATCGCGTGGTATAATATTAAAAAACGAATCTTTTCCGTTATACGTATGCCATTATTTAAATTTAAATTTCATAGATTAAGCAATCATCGAAGTAGCAAAGATTGTAAATTTACATAAATATTACTTATTAGGTACTAAGTTGGGTTTATAAATTACACAAATTTCAAATACTCAGTAGAAATTCAATCATTCTATAAGGAAAATTATATTTTTGTAAGGTGCTCATATTCATAAAGTCAACTGCCTTTTGATTTTTCCTACAATCCAATTTGAGTCGTACTGCTCGTTATAATAAGACCTGCATCCAGTCGTCGTACAAATACTCTAAATAACGTTGATCAGCAATAGTTATCCTATATTACACACTTTCGAGGAAGCTAAAAATACAAAAGTAGGCACATTAGTATAATATAGGAAACCAAATCAAATTTTGTCGCTTGATACGTACAGATATTAACTGTTTTCGTAAATATAATGATATTATTGAAATAATTAATTTTGTTTTGGTTTATTTTAATATCATACGGACTACATGATGCGATCTAACGTCAGTAGACCGAAAAATTGTCTATACGTACGCGTACGGAGTCATAATGAATTTTACTTGCCGGGTTTACGGATTCGAAGTGTTTGAACAATTATAATCATAATAACGGCTAGTTTATAATTTTATAATCAAAAAAAAAAAAAAAATGCCTAACAAGGAAGAAAGAAGAATGTGACGTGGTGGAGTGGTGGACTTAGCAAACGGTTTCGAGTTCAAGTGAAAACCACCACGACACGTTAACCAGTTGGAAATTTTCCATTTGTCCCATGTGATGATTCGTACAACGACGAAACGTCATAGGGCAGGGATGGCAAACCTTTTGAACACTGCGTGCCCAAAATTACCTATTTTTTTTTAATTTTTTTTTTTTTTTTTAAGAGCGTGCCACGAAAAAAATATTAAAAATATTATATTTTGTTATATTATAATTTGATTGTATAATTAATGTATTAGTATAAAAAGGTTATTTTAGATACATAATAATAATAATATATAATAAATAATAATAATAATTATAATAATATTGCTTTGTTAATTATTTATATTATATTACATCATAGGTCCTATAATATTATATATTATATAATATATAATAGTAAAAATGTTCGCGCGCCCACAAAATCTTTTCGCATGCCATCTCGGGCACGCGTGTCATGGATTTGCCATCCCTGTCATAGGGTCTGCTTGCGGCTGATCCGATTGAATAGAACAGAACCGAACTGTATGGTTGTTAATAGTGTATTTTATAATAAGTACCTAAAGTGTCTAAGATATTCACAAGTACCTAAATAGCGTTTTCTCTCCGTAGTTCGGCTCAAGCGAATACAATACCATTACAATATGACTTGGTCACCATTTACGACCGTTACCAGTGTTCTACTCCTCAACACCCGATGTCTTTTTTACATATTGTCATCATAGGTATCCTTCGTCTATCAGCATTGACCATCACGGCACGATCGTCGTTTGTGTTGCGAACCGTTTTCCCCGTCGGCCGACCGAATACGTCTGTGCAGTATAATTTACGTTGCGGGGCTACAAGTTGGCATGGACGAAACTAGGGGTCTTATGTCACTTCGGTAGACGACTCTTGATCTTGTAATTTGCATCGGTACGTAGACACGTTGTACGGAGGATAGATGAATATTTGGGGGAACTATGCCCCCGAATCACCACCTAACTGCGGCTAAACAAGTCGGTCGGCCGACGGGAAACGCGTGGACCTTGCTCCGCGGACGCAACGACACCCACGTCCGTATCGGTTTTGTAACGTGGTGCGGGGTCAACTATACGGTCAACACGTGCCGGCGGTGACCTACTCGGGTTAGCGCCATAATTTTTACCGTTTTAACCGTGCACATTAGATAAGCCGGGGTCTCGCGCGCACGCGCATTAAAAACAACAACAATTAGCGCGCGGCGTACACACGCACACGCGTTAAAACAATAATAATAATAATAATATCTGGAGGCAACCTTACGCGGCAGCCGCGTTCAAGGCTGTTCTCCGGCCACATTAACGGTCGCGCGGTACGCGTTTTCAACAGTCGCGCGACGGCCACGCCGAGCGTATATAACACCGGAGCCGCCGATCCTGTGCGCCCGTGGTCCGCTTCGTCTTGTCCTCTCGTCACGTAATCCGCCGCCGCCACCACGACGACCGCGTGTGCCCAGTCCGATCGCAGCAGCGAACGCCGTCGACCAAACACACGCGTGCACGAGCAACACTCGCCGGTCGTCCGGCGCGTTTGCGAGTTATAATCGTGCTCGCCGTATCCCGTTCACACCATCATCATCATCATCATCATCATCATCATCATCATCATCATCATCATCGTTCCGTACGCCGGTAGCAGTAGCAAAATGCGCCCGACACTCGCGTTGATGGTCGTCGCCACGTTCGTCACCGTCCAAGTCGTTCAAATCACCGACGCGTACACCACCATGTGGGTCAGTATATTTACATAATAATAATAATATTAATAATACGTCGGTCAACGTACAAGGGAGGATTCCTTATCGCCCAACTCCGTTTTGATTGTTTCGCGTCTTTTCGATCGTTTCAAAATTTAAAATTCATCGCCTACGGCGGTCTCGTGCGTCGCACGTGGAATCGGTAGCTTCGTGCGACCAACTCTTAGGCACCGGTAACGTTAGGCACGTTCAGGTCGCGTCCGACCGTCGAGGTGTTGTTGACGGTGTTCAGAAAACGCACCGCGCACGGTGCAAGTGTCGAAAAAGAAATGGAGGAAAAAAAAAAATCAAAAACCCGTCAAGGTCGACCGCACCAAGTGCAGTATGCGGCAGCAGGCGCATGCCGTCGCTTTCCCCGAACTGAGGCGAATCGCCGCGGCCGTCGTCGAGATACACCTACGTCCGCGGCGGGAATCGAACCAAACATATCTCGATAATAACGCGTGGTAAATGCGCTATCGGTCTACGTCCGGTGGAATTTGTCCGTTTCGAAACGAACTCGCGTCCGTGTTAACGGGACCGTATAATAATCGCCCGCGGCCTTGGGGGGTGGTGAGCGTGGTGTGCGATTTAACGTGCGTTCATCGGGATACGCGTCGAATCGATTTACGCGCGTCGTTCGTACTCCCGTATTCACGTGCGATTATTTTTATGTTTCCAGGATCATTTGTTCGACTACCAAAAGGAATTGTTGCCCAGGGAACAGCCGACTGGATTTTGCACGGCGTGCGGTAAATATAACATCAGAGCGTAATATACGGCGGGCACGTTTGAAACGCTGCACGACGATAGAAACGTTCCGAATCGCTTCGAATCGGAACCGCGACGCACGTGGTTACGATCGGTGACGAACGTCCACGCGCACCCTGTACGACACTCTATATTCCTAACTAGAGCCGTGCATCGTTCGCGCATTTCGTTAGGTTTTCGGTTTCCTGCCGCGGTGCGATCCGTGTTGTCTTTACGCCAGTTCAACAAACCGCCGGCCGTCCGTGCGGCATTTGTTTGCTGTAAACGTGTTGTTTGTTCGGTCGCGTCGGAGCTTTTCCGAGCTCTTTGCAACACGGCCGTGTTTATGTTTGCGCGCGTGGAAAAAACATCACGCTTGCCGACGAACGATCCATTACCGCGATCCGTCGGCGGCGCACCACTTAATTCCCCGGACCCCGTCCACGCGTTTTCCCGTTAATAGTTCAGCTGTTCGGCGTCCCGTGTTTCGTGTTTGCGGTCGTGTTTGTTTTTCAACGGTTACCGCACGCTATCCCGATCGATACGCGCCCGTAAAGCCTCGAAGGGATTTTCCGTACGCGCCCAGGAGATACGCAATATCCACTCGTACTTTCGCGATCATCGACGTACATAATACAAGCGGCGGCGGTGGCGACGGAAAAGAGCCAAGACCGAGTGCCAGAGCCCCTTTTATTTTCAAAATAAACATAGAGGACAAATATTGATGAAGTCACCGTACGCCCTCCCCCATCCCATCCTACCACGAGTCTGCGAAACGACGAAAACTGCAAATTGATTTACCATACGCACGCGCGCTAGCAAATTAAATGTTTACATTGTTTCCGCAAATCAACGTCTTATTATATTGCTATAAATTGAATGAGCGTTCGAAATTGAATTTCGTACACATCACCGTTCAATTGACCAGAACGGCAGAGACCTAATAGTTGACCTTCACCTAAATATCGTTTTGAAAAACTACTCGCTCGTACATTATTGATTTTTCGTAAATTCTTTTTTAACTCATTGCGGGTTTTCCAATCTCGTTATACACAGTATTGTTGGGCTCAGAACCGTAGACGTTGGTCGTCAACACTTCATTGAGTGAAATCTACCATTCTCTTATACGTACATTGCTACATAGCTAATGAAAATTGTTTAAAATAATGTTTTTTTTTATTAATCAATAAAGTTAATTAATTAATTAATTAATCAAAATAAGTGATTTAAACCCTTATAGGAAATGCATCACGTTTTTCTAGAATCGTAATTTTGGAAAAATGACTTACATAGAATATTGGGTTTGCCAATTCGCTCGGTGTCTTCTCTGCCACGTGAAAGGTTTCTGGTTCATTTAGTTTCCAATATTCGTTTTAAACGCAACAAGAAATCATCAGTTTAAAAACCTTGTTTTTTCTAAACGATAATCGTTTTCTTAGTCGAAGTAGGTATACCTGAATTTCAAATGTTGAAATAATTTCTGGATATTTTTTAAAATTTATTGAAATATCCTGTATATCATATGAATGCATATGATATGATACTTCACAAGCGAAAGTTTGAATCGTTATCGTGTGAAATCTATATAATAACAAAAATAAGGTGTGGAAACACCACCAAGGGCGTACTCAATATTCTAAATGATTTCTAAACTCTAAAGCCATACTTATCTAGCATACATAATTAATAGGTAGATAATATGATTTTTTAAACTTTTTAACTATTTTCATAAAATATAAATGGTACTCGTAATTATAGGTTGTTTACTTAACACTTGAACATTTATATATTACACATATATATATTACTATATAATCTATAGTAAACATCATTACTTAATACGAGTAGTATAAATATATCTGAATAAAAATGAGTTATTTCTCATCGTAATTGTTGGGCTTAATTCGTGATAAGTCCCAAGTTATAAGTATTAGTATAAAGAAGTTTAATTTTAAAAATATATAGTCTACGGCACGTAAACATTTTATAAAAAATGAATAGGTTCCACGTTGATTATTTTTAATCTCTTCCAGCTCTGACACTCAATTTTAGAAAATATCTTAAAAACATAATTTATTGCATTATATAACTATGTTTGACAGCAGTGTAATTGGTATTCAAATTAAGTATAATATTTCCATAAGCTAATAATAGAGTTCGTCGAATCATTATTTTTTTCCGTTTATGTTCTTGTGATCTAAAGGACTACTCAGCTAAAGGGTTAAGTAACAGTGACTTGTTTTGTATTAACTGTAAAATTATTGAATTACAAGCAAAGTGCATTTTTGTTATATATATATATATATATATATACACGATTTACTAAATACGTATGCGATTACACTTCTATTTCAATAATTTATGATTTTATACATAATATAGGTACATTATCTTTTGGTTAACTTTATTAGCAGTCATATATCCATAATGTAAATCACAAAAACGTAATTAGTACTATTTAAAATCGATTTGACATGATTTTAAAAATAAAATAAAATAAGTACTAGGATACGGAAATACACAAAATTGAATTTTTTACGCAGTCATAATAATATATAGTTACACATGGAACTTTCTTCGGATCAGTTGGAAAAAAAAAACGATATTTCATTAGATACATTTAAATATGAATGATCACATTATTTTTTTGGAAATGATTTACGTATGAAAAAGAATCGTCAAAAACCCGTCATCGACTACTACTGTCCAGCGACACAAAACACATTAACTGCGTTCTATTTTTTCTTCGAATGCCATGCATTATTATATTTTAACGTAAAAGTTTACGACGCTTGTATTATTTTCATATAGTATAATGTATGTAAAGATGCGTGTTCCTATGCGCTGTACACGTGATAAAATATTTCGTTACGTGACTCGGCCGTTCGGTTAATTTTTTATTCTTTATCAAACCATTTTGCAACACCAATGCAACAAGATGCGTGTATTCGAAACCGCGGTTTTAGCAACAACGTATTCAAATCATTTGCCGCGACTCGCGTGTCCAATTGAACCCGGAAAAAAATTATGTGAACGTCGTCCGGCAACGATGTCCGTCACGGGTTGCTAACCAAAAGGGAAAATCAGCCAAACAACCGGCGCGTTATTAAACCTAAAATCATAACGTCCTGCGTACCACGATCCGACGAATAGATTAGAACACTGCGTACGTGCATACATTTTAAACCTGCAGATCTTTCGACGTATAATATTCGTTAACGCGGTAGGTACGGTGAATTTGTACGCTCGCACGCTATGCATAAACAGTGTATGTTCACACCGTACTATTTTTGTACCGGAAACACGAGCAAAGGATAACATCGCACACCGTAAGTGATTATGATGCCTCTTTATCGGAACACGATTTTCTGTACTTGCACATTACGCGCGTGTAATTGAACATTATAGTTATGCGCGCGCAAGCCGATAATAATTACACCGCTGTATACCGCGCGCGCTCCGACACTAATATTATAATAATTACTGTCGTTCATGACATAAGTCGTGTACGGCGGCGTGTGGTTTCTCGCCGTTACTATGGGTGCGAACCTACCGCAGCTGAAGTAAATGTAATCCGTGTTCGGATGTATGAAAAATAAAAACGTAAAAATTTTAACTGCTACCGCTAATAAATATTCGATCGTATTATTACTGTAACACTGTTGTTTTGATTACCAATAAGCGATACTCTCGATCTCGTATTCTCGATTCGATATATTATTCCGGACGAGTGATGAATAGATATCATTGATATGGTTAATAATTCGAAAATTATCAGACTTCGTCATACTATAATGATAATAGTAATAATAATAATAATAATAATAATAATAATAATACACGAACGGTGTTATTTAAAAATAACGATACTATAAACGTATGATCGCAGAAAAACCGTGCGGAGCCCAACCGGTGGAACGGAGATCGTCTTTCGCAAAGATCGTCAACGGCAAAGATGCGCGAGAAAACGAATTCGGCTGGGCGATCACCTTGGCCCGACGGGGTCAGTTTTTTTGCGGCGGTACGCTGATCACCAAGAAGCACGTGCTCACCGCCGCTCATTGCGTCAACAAGTGAGTCTCGGTGGAGTTCTGATGGCTAAGATTCACCACATTTTTCTTTGGATTTTTCCCCCTACCCCTGTACAATGTGCTCTACACGCGCGGCCGTTCGCATTCGTTTTCAGATTTCCAGCCAAAGAACTAACCGTGACCATCGGGGAACACGACCGGAAGGCGGATACCGGTCGCAAGTCCGTGCATCAAGTCGCCAAAGTTCACTGGCACCCCGGTTTCCAGCTCAACACGTTCGACAACGACATCGCGGTCCTGGAACTCAAAGATCCAGCACCCATTGAGAGCCCGTGGGTGCGCTTAGCTTGCTTGCCCAATTCCGGTCAGTATCTGAGATGCAGTGTATGTGTTGTATATAAATATATGCACTTATCGGCGAAAGATCTCTTTTAAGGACATGTCTATAGTAATCGGTTTTTTTTTTTTTTGCCTTTTTCCCACCCGCGCAGAAGACGTGTCCTACGAAGGCATCAAAGGCACCGTAGTTGGTTGGGGTAGACTAGGCGAGAGTAAGAAGTCTTCCAACGTACTGCAAAAAGTTGACGTGCCGATTATATCCAACGAGGACTGCAAGGAAATGGGATACTCTCCCGAGAAGATCACTAGCAACATGATATGCGCTGGATACAAAGAAGGCCAACAGGACGCTTGCCAGGTACCATGATCAAAAATTATTTAACACACGAACAAAAATATAACGATATTGATTATTTTTTATGCATTAAATATATATCTTTATTTTGGTTGTATAATTTATTTTATACTACACATATTTTTATATTATTTATATTTTATTTTTAGGGTGACAGTGGCGGGCCGATGCACAGACATATATATTCATCTAACGTCATGGAAGTGATCGGTAAGTTTATCGTATGGATTCATCGTCACATATACATACACACTCACATTATCGTAAATATATATGCATTAAATTAGTGATTACTTAAATCTGAAGAAAATATTCGTTGTATAAATATTAAACACCACTGATCTCGTTGTATAATAGGAATCGTGTCTTGGGGTAAAGGATGCGCCAGAGAAAATTATCCTGGAGTATACACCAGAGTGGCCAATTATTTGAACTGGATCATGGATCACACAGGAAATGAATGCATCTGTGGAGTCGAAAGTTCCTGAATAATTTTGTTACCTCATATCATCACATCACCCACATATTTCTTTTTAAATTAATCACACTTAAAATAATTACTACTACAATTATTTTATTATTTTTATTATTATTATTATTATCATTATCTTTGTGTACATAAGTAAGTATGATCATGTATATATTATCTATCGTACCGTATATATATATATTTATAGTATTATTAGTTTACAATCGAATTGACCACCGAATATAATTATAATAGTATAATTGTTATACACTATAAATTACATAAAGTCTAGTCAACCTACGCAGCTAATAGGCATTCAATTAATATTTTAATTTATCATATTGATATTATAACTATTACTATATAGGAAACCTATTATTATTATAACAATTATTTTGTGTAAAATATTATCAATTTAAATAAAATTAAAATACTGTATAAAAAAGTTATTTTTTTGTGATGATAATTATTAAACAATTAATATATTGTCTATGCAAAAAAAAAAAACGAATAATATTAAGTATAATATGAATGTTTATGACAATTATTATGTACATATTCTTTATAATAATAGTGTACTTATAATTGTATAAACTAAGTTATATTGTTAATTCGAATAGTGAAAAATAATACCAAACACAATTATTGCGTTTCGACAGTTGACCGTTTTATATGTATCCGTTCAAAATTATGTTATGTAAACTGATATCACTCTTCATTCATAAATCTTAATTTAATTATATTATCATATTTTGTTTTACTGTTGGCGTATTGTAATTTTCTCTTTTGAGTGTAAACGGTTCGCGGCACGAATGGACCGAACGTGTATGATTAAATTCCTCGTATAGGACACTTTTTTAAAATTTCATCAGTTAATGATCCTACTTTTCAATGTATACATAGTCGAATGTATACATTACGAATAGTGTTGACTAACGATATATTTTTTAATTATCGATATCGTTTTAATTTTTCCGATATCGTATCGTGATATCGAAAAAATATCGATTTGCATATATTTATAGTTATTAATTATATGTATACTAATTTTTAATTATTTATAACAATATTTTATGTATTACCTTAAAAATATGTAAAATTAGAAATATAAATAAAAATATACAAAATTAGGTGTAGAAATAATAGATATGTATTTTGCAGTTTATGAATTTTCTTCTTCAAATAGTTTTCCGTCAATGTTTCGGAATTTGGATTTTATTTGAAATACCAATTCAGAAATAAAAACTGATTGAGTAGTTCAGGAAACAATCTATTTCTTTTTTTTGGTAATGATTGTTCCAACTTCACCAAATAACCGTTCAAAGGAACACAAGTGGCCATTATACTTAATTAATTATACTTTTTTGGCTAACAATGATACATCTGAGTATTTAGTTTCATTTTCTTTCCACCAATTTAAAGTATATTGATCATAGGGAATTTGTAATAAGTAATAAAGGTGTACTAAAACCGTCAACTTTATTATTCTGAGTCCTGATTAATCATCTGGATATCACAAAATTTTCTATAATTATTTTTAGTTATCGATATCGAAATTATTGAGAAAATACCCACTATATCGATATCGTATCGAATTATCGATGTCGTTGGCCGACGGTAATTACAAATATAGTATATATACGAGTTTGTTATGAAATGGTATAAGTATTTAACTCTTCTCTTTTGTTCCAAGTCCATCTCCCAGCGTGCTGCCATATACGTATCTATTGATAATAGCATTTGTATCTGATCTTGGTATCAATCTCAAGATAGACAGCGTCGGCTATTTTCTCCTTTAGTGTACTATATTATATTGGTATACATATTGTACCTACTACTGCACCCTTTCGTCAATATGATTTTAGATCGAAGACGTTTTTTGTACAATCACATCATTAGAAATTGTTTGCGCATAGCGTTCGTTGACGCCTGCAAGATATCGTATTATTTTATAAATACAACGCAGTCCAAACATGTACAATAATTTTACATTGTACAAAATATTATATTATGTATTTAAAATACGTCGAATTGACTGATTGAGTTCTACGCCAAAACTATTATAAGTTATGGTTTCTACGTACAACCATCAACACTCTACAGGGATGTTTGTGAAGGCAACTCTCCCTTCCCTTAGATTCCTATATTAAGTATTCACGTAATTATTGTTATGTGAATAATAATAATAGAAGAAAACCATAAACCTACATGAAATATGGATAGTTATAAGAAAAGTTATAAGACTGGATATATAGTACTAAACATCAGTTATTTGCAACTGGTGATCCATGTACTATATTGATCTGACCCGCGCTAACTTTTAAAATATTATAGATCACCAAGGCCGAATTAAGTACCTATTGGGCCCCGGGGTTGAAATTGTATATGGACTCTTTTGACAAAACATGCTTTACAAAGCCGCTCGCTACGGTCACAGAACGATACATTTTTTTTAACTATTTCACAAATTGCCAATTGCATTATAAAATTATAAAATGAATAGGTATATAAAATGTATGTATATAAAACTACTAATTTTAGTATGATAAAAAATGTGTATCGGCTTAAAATTGTTTGAGCCCCTTTCACTTGGGTGCTCGAGGGGGCCCCGGGGCTACCACCTCGGCTAGACCCACCCTAAATCCAGCCTTGGATGTCACTGAAGTTTAAAAATAAAATTTACTTGATAAAATGTTGAGAAAACGGTGTTAATTTATTTATAATTCTATGTTATGTTAACGTAACTTGTAAAAACATGATATAAATTATTATTTTTTGACAAACTAACTTATTCTGAGATTATTACACACATTTAAATACCTATGACATGTTTGCGACAATAGTAATTTCATACATCATAGTGTAGTCGTACCATCGTGTCGTATACATTTTACAGTTCAATCTTAATTTTAGTTTTAGCTCTTGGGCCGCTATAATTTAACAATAATAAACTGGTCTTATGATAACTTTAATTTTGCCATATCCAGCCATTAATGATACACTTATTTGCCCCTTCTTGAGTTTATATTCGTATGGTAATTTAGTTATCCTTATTATATGTATCCACATTTTATATTATATGTATACCATATTTATATTATATGTATATCATTATTTAAAGTTTCATGTTATTGAGTAGGTATTAATTTAACGAATAAGAACATTTCTACATGGCTATTTCAACGTAAATTATTATGGGTAATGACATTTGAATGTGACTATTTGAATACCAAAAAAAATAAAAATAGTATTATATAATATCATATAATTTAGTAACAACATATAATCATAAAATATTGAAAATAATGAAAATATAGAAAATTACAAAACAAAACAAAATTGTTACTAATGAATTTAAATATTTTGGGAAATATCTAGAAAAATAATATGATAGTCTCTTAATTTTATACTTTTGAACTATTCTGAACATGTTTTTATCAACATCAATACATTATTATAATTTTTTAAAGGAATTTAACAAGTTTCGAGTGGACTAAAAAGTACATCTCAATCAGCTTGTACTTCTAATTGTATCTAATTGTTATTTTTTATAATCATAAATAATTTTGATATCTACCTAAATGTATTAATCCGATAAAAACAATTAAGTATAAATTAACAACAATTATATAATAATTAACAAAATTCAAATTTTAGTATCCTAGATTTTTGCGATAATCCAATAATAAATTTTCATTTTAATATTGAAAATGTTGTCTCCATCCTTTCTCTAGAACTTTTATAATATTATACACGGCAAGTCATTAATTCCAATCTAGACGAGATTTTCGTTCTTTTTTTGTACCTTTATTTTCAAAAATATTTTAATTCGCTAGAACTAGAATCATAAAATAAAAAAATACAATACTCGTATAACATATATTAATTTAAAAAACGCCACTATACATACATACATTTGTAGCTTCACTGATGCACACATTTTGACTAATAAGTAAAATATAATCAATCAATTGATCAAATGGGACTATGATATAAAAATATAATCTATTGCGCTAATATCTAACAAATTTGATAAAATATGTAGGCAAATGAAAGATTTCAGGAATATAATAATGTACAAGAAATATAACAAACTATATGATATACAATATAGTATATGATATGATATAATATTATTTTTTATTGTTTTGATATTCAAACAATCAAACAGAAATGTTACCACGACCCCACGGACCCATCCAAAAGTCCTACATTGATTTTTTATACTATGCAATCCATGGAGAGCAATATTTATTTATACTTCATAGAGTAACATATTATAACCATGAAAGTGTATAAAGCAGAAGCGGCCAAACTTTTTTCGGCCACGATCTACTAAAAATATACTTCACCTTTGAAGATCGACTTTCTTGGAAAAATGTTTTTATTATTAAATAATTATAATTATTAAGAAACATACTTTCTTGAAGTGCATATAAATATACATAAAGTATTATAAACTAATTACTAAAAATAGTATAATAATTTCTAATCGAAATACTTAAATCTAATTAACATATTAATATTTATTTTGTTGATCTGGGCATTGTTGAAGTGCACGTGGCCTAAAAATAAATTCTAACATGATCGACTCAGAAATCGTCTGCGATCGACCGTTTGGCCGCCCCGGGTATAAAGTATACTATCGATAATTGGTTTATATTCACATAAGTCAAGATTGATATAATAATTTTAAAATTAAAAATAAACATATATTTATTTCCGAACGCAAACTTCGAGCGTTAACAGAGATTTAAATTGAATTTGTCGGTATGAAAAAAGATGATTGAAAATGTACATTTTTGTTTTTTTATTTTCTTATTCGTGCTAGGTACTAAGGAAATATAAAGATTGATTTTAACGGTAAACAATCTAAATTGATTCACCGAGATATTTAATTTTCACGAAATGTAAAATTTTGAACACAGAGCAAGAATATTTACATGAAAACACAATGGTCTTTTTTCTTTTTTTTTGCTTTTTAGTGTTTTGTTAGTGGAAACGCATGGTTTTTATATTTTGTTATAAAGAGCCATAGCTTATTAGCTATTTGCTGTTTCGGTATCTGCGTCATAAATAGTTATAGAGTTTCTAATATAATAACACAGGTCAGACTCATTATATTATTTTATCCCATAACTTTTATCCTGTCAAGACTTATTATATAAAAAAATCAAAAAGCAAATAGTAATTGCTCATTCTATATATTAAATACTAAGTACCATAAATGCAATTATTATTATGCATAATGATGTGCACAATATTGAGATATAATATAATATAAAATTATAATCTAGGTCAACGAGAAAATATAAATGTTTTGAGTCGGGACGAACACAAACGTTATTTTTTCAAAATCTTATG